AAAATATTACATGGAGACAAAATTATATGAATGACTGTTTTATACAGGCCTATGATCACTACAATTAACTGATGAATACGAACGACAATCAATTCGACACATTCTTTACAGACATTTCGAACATAGAATTTAGTATAACCTATTTCCATTCATGAAAAAGATCCCGCTTAAATGAATTTCATCAGTATTGTGTTGGTATGTTTGTTTTATTATACTTCAATGGTAATATAAAATTTGAAATATTCTATTATTGATTCATGATCTCAACTATTTAAATCAGTATAATATCTACAAAACCCCTCCTGATCTTAATCAACATATGCTCACTAGTGACTGGCTTCAAGTAGGTATTCCCTGGAGTTCTAGTGAGAAGCAGTGACCAGTAGAGTTCAACCGCGTCTCTTATGAGATAGTAACTCACTGAGGACAATGGTGGATGTGTCGCTCAATTTCGTGAATCGATTGAAGTTAGACATTAACACCATCGGTTGATGGTCAGCTCAGTGATGTAGAGGTCAAGCGCTTGCGCGTGAGACTGATAGGTCCTGGGTTCTAATCTCGCGAGTGCGGGATCGGGGATGCGCACTGCCACTGAGGAGTCCCATAATAGGACGAAACGGCCGTCCAGTGCTTCCAGGTTTTCCATGGTGGTCTAGCTTCAATTGACCCATGATTTCAACTATGAAAATGTAATATTGTTGAAAAAACTTCAAATTACTATGATAATACTTTGCTGGATTATCAACTCTTTACAAATCATTTTATTTACCTACTTGGTTGGGGTCTGCACGAATATGGTAACCAATAGTTGGAGACTCTGGGTAACATGGCTCAGAAGCAATCACAACTCTTTAGTGAGACAGCAGCCTCCGTTGATTAATTAATGTATTAGACTGAAGAATTATTTCATAGATCATTATTATGTATCTTATATTCTTATTGGATAAATACTGCTTCGGTTTGGGTGCCCAGCAAGTATTCCATCCCTCACATAAATCAAATGATAAATTGTGGCCCATATATATATTGGGGTACATCCTAGTAACAATTTTCATGTGTTTAAATAAATAGAAAAATCTGATAATTACTCAATAACTGGGCTAATGTGTTTATTTCATATACGACAGAATAGGTTTCACAATTTAAAGGATATAGCAGGCACGTTCGAAACCGAAGGATAAACAAAATATTTGTTGCAAACAGGTTTTTCCACCAGGTAGCCAGCTCTTGGAACCTATTTGCGGAAGGGTTGATATCCACGTTTCCAATTGGATTACACAAGATAAGACTGGACACCTACAGAATCTTATCAGAAAAAAACTAACACAGACACTCGGGCTTCTGTTATTAATATACAAATATCAATCCAACAGTTGCAGAAGTAAATTACTTGTTTTAAAGGAAGGAACCAGTAGATGTGAGAGATACAAAACTAACCTGCTGAGGTTTGTGTGGCTCCAAATTAATTTTCCCAATAAAAGTCCTATGAACACTTCCGAGGTCAATTAGGAATGCATGACTCAAAAATTTGTGCCATACCAAAACTGCATGCACACGTGAGCAGGATTGATGATCCACGGCAAAGTCGCGTAACTGTTAATTTCTATCGAAAAAGGAACAGCTTTTTTCATCCATTACAAGTTTCTATGATATTTAGCTACAGACAGAATGTGAATTTAACATATATTCACTATTAATGACAATTTATTAGTCACAGCTTGTCCTATTCTCAGTCAGTTTTGGCTTTTTTTTGTGTGTAAAATTATTGTAGTTTTCTATTTTCATAGCTTGATATGATCCTGATAAGTTTTATTAACTGAACGCCATACTCAGTTCCTAAGTAAGTCTCGTAAACCTCAAGCTAAATCTACACAGCGACTTGAACACGAGAGAAAAAGGCGCAAAATATACGAGAAGCAATTTACTCCAAAGGTTCATTTATGTATAGAAAATATAGGGGTTTTATAGTATTTAAGACGTCCTTGAGTTTTCCTGAAAATTCTAGAATACAATTAAACAATGTAGTAATCAGTCAATCAGAAACTCTGTATGTGACTTTTCATTTTCGTGATGTTTCTGGCAAAACCTCTAGTCAAACGCTGATTAGATAAAAAAAAATGCTTCTTAATGTTTCCTCAACCTTTCTTGTTGTTCTGCTCCGATAATGAATGGTAACTTTGGGATCTATTTATGAACCAATATTAAGCATATATTTTATATCGTATAATTGCTAAATAACTAAACTAATCATATTTGTGTCCCCCTTATTATAAGCTTTATTTTGATCCACAGACTATTATTATACGATTTACCATTCTTGAGTTATCCGCAGTCTATTAATTAGTGCCTCCCACATTCACGGCCACATTTGGCTAAATCTTGTACAAATGTTATTTCCTATTTTATGGTACAATGTGGTCAGCCTGATTGGTATATAAACTCAGTATGTTTGAAATATAATGATTCATACCGCAGAGGTTATAATTGATGTTCTGGACTCAACAGGGTGGACTAGGCAAACAAGCACTCTACTCTGCTCGTACGGTTTCCGTGTGTCACTGTTCCAATCGATAATTCGCTGCTCTCTGATTGCCAGTCTTGTCACGTCATACGTTAACACGGCATCTACTCGGCCAAAAGATATAACACTTATCTTTTGTGAGACGTTTTCTGAATTACCCTAACAGATTCATATATGAATTCACTTAGTATTGCTTGTTTGGATCTTCCCATCGATGTGTTTAAGACTGCAACTGGTCAGTCTCTAATTGGCATATGTGCATACTGTGCGTATTGCCTCGATATACCTTAATTCACAAGCATGGTAAGCAGATTCATATATGATTGTAATGTAATATAATTAAAATTGGTTGATTATCAACTTATCTTTGGACTTAAGATAAAAGATAGAGAATTGCTACTACTCATAGTAATAATAACAGATTAACTTACATCAACCTCAAGATGAACTAATACAGGTTACACATGTTCATTGATCATGTCTAGAGTACTATAGTAATTAGAAGAAATAGACATAGAATAGTAAACGTTATAAATAGAAATCTATATCTGGTGACTTGAACACACATGATATCACTATTTATGACTTATTACATATATGATGCTGTTCAATCGTTGAAACGATATACCAAATATTAGTAGTAAGTAAATATTGTTATAATGTAGTGTGGTCTACTTATATCCATATAAGTAGTATATAATGATGGTCAGACATAGAGTGTATTTTGGCAGAAGACTGATAAAGAAAAAACTGAAATGAAGCTCAATCGGTATGAAAATGCATGAACAACATTGACAGTGATCGATAAAAAAAGTAGTAGTAGTAGTAGTAGTAGAAGTAGTATGGTCTACTTATATCCACATAAGTAGTATATGGTGAAGGTCAGATATCGAATGTATTTTGGCGGAAGATCGATATAAGGAAAGAACTGGAATGAAGCGCAGTCGATGCGGAAACGCATAAACAATGAAATCAGAGATGGACTGATATTTGCAGAAGAAACAATCAAAATTAAGACAATTGATTGATAGTTTGCCAATTAACTGTTTACTGTATGATTATCAGATCTTAGTAAGATAGTCTGTAATTTTGTGCTTAAACACATTCGATTGTTTCCAACTGGTGTTTTGTTCACTACAATAGCACCTCTAATATAATTAAATTTGTATACGGTTCATTTTGTCAAACACTTCAATTCATTTCTTTCACAGATAGTACAATACGAACAGTAAGAATTCGTCTGTTTCTTTGTATTATCATCATAACTAATTTGTCTGTATGATCATGTATGCTTCATCATCTGTGGCAGCCTACACACATACCTCTCTGTCCAGCTTAAATAGTCAGTCGCTTAAATATAGCTGAATGAATCATTCACTTTCCCACATATACATATATATGTTTTAATCCTATAATTAATTACTTCGCTTGGATCCGATTTAACTCTGAATCCGTTTTCTCATTATACATTAGCTCAAATTCCCTTGATGTTTGCTTGTAGCTTTGTATTCTGAGCTATACAATAATAAACTGTAGTCGGCGCATTGTGTTGCCTTCTGAATGCATACATTTTTTGAGATTTATTTAATGACGGTTATCAGAGTGATTGATATAAGAAGACTAGGGAATTATTTCGAAGTCAAGCCCCTGTACTATCTCTTACTTCGATAGGCGTTAAATTTGACTCAAATAGTAGTGTCCTTTTCAATGCGATACCTAACATGCATTGTAATTATTTATTTATTTAGACACATAAATATTGGTACAAACGAGTACTAGATATATGTGCGCCACACAAATCTCATTTGATTTGTGTGAGAGCTATGATACTGCCCAGATGCCCAAACCGAAGCAGGTAGTTATCTTAGGGGACCACACCTGGAGCGTTGACCTAAAGGTCTGATCCACAAGACAGTGGAGCATCGTAAGGAGATGCAGTCCCATGGTAGCCTGTGACCAACGATTGATATATACGCCATTTGTTCCCTTAAGATACTGAAACCTATGTGCACCATTGGTTTGGAATCAGAGTTTTCCAACTCCCCTATATGAATTCTTCATATCCACCAACCTGGTTAAAGCGTCGGACATTCGCTTTTCGTCCTCCCAATTTCTTAAACAACACCTGTGATGCGAGAAAGCAGTGAGTCGGACTTCCGCGGCAGAGGCTATATACGTGTATTGAAATTATTCTTTCATGTAAGAGATTAACACATTAACAAAAAAAAATTACATCCACTTCAAGGTTTGTGTATATTTTTTTAAAAAAAAAACAACCAAGTATTCAAGTTACAAGGTGGTAGAATAAAAGAAGAAATTAACGAGCTAATCATGCATTTAAAATATTGAAACACACACACACATATACACAAAGACAAAAACTAGTGGGCAACAAATACATTTGTGTAATTGGTTTACATTTTCCTAAATAGTTTTATAAATAATAAGAATGAATTATAGTTTTTATCCTGGTAATAGGTTAACCGTGGGCTTCACCTTTCTTCCCGGAGACCTAAGGATTATTAAATACATGGATATAAATAGGATTTAACATATCATATCATATATATATATTAGCAAAGCAAGAACAGCATTTTTACAGTTGAAGAACATATGGAACTCAAAAAACTGTAAACTAATTTCATTGTGAGAATCTTCAATACGAACGTCAACACAGTCTTACTGTACGGAGCTGAAATGTGGATAACTGCTACATTCATCATCAAGAAGGTACAAGTATTTATAAACAGTTGTCTACGCAAAATACTCAACATTCACTGGACGGATACTCTCAGCAATAGCCTTCGGTAGGAGAGGACAAACCAGTTTCAAGCTGAAGAGAAAATTAGGAAACGACGTTGAAAGTGGATCGGATACACATTGAGGAAATTCTCAAACTGCATCACGAGGCAAGCTCTAACTTGGAATCCGAAAGGAAAGCGGATACTTCCATATTTAATAATATTCCAACTTCATTTATGAAAAAAAGTTAATTGTACAAATGACAGATCATAAGTTGAAAATAATCTGAAGATCATATCCCGATGATGCAACATGTGACTGATAAAAGAAAGAAATCGACTAAACATATAAGGTCTTATACGTCTTTTCATAATTGACTATAATAGACAGGGGGAAAAATGATTGTTTTCTCAATATACTACTAATAAAAAGAGAGAGTATCGTAAAGCTTTCATTGTTCAATCAATCGACACATTGAAACCGATTCAATTTATCAACCAATTAGAAAATTCAAAAACAATCAAAAGGTTAGGAGTCAGGTCGAAAGAGAACATAATCGAAATAAATATCCAGACAATCATAAGACATAGATCAGGTCTACAACAACATCAACAGACAATCCAGATCATATTCGATAGGACAAGGTGTCAGTTACACGTGCAGCAACTCTCATGGATCATTGTACTGTTGATGTCGAAACGACCTGTGAGCAATTCATAATTAAACCACCAACCACAGAGAAACCAATTACATCAAAATTATCTTTTCGAGGTGTCAATGTTCTTAATCATCTCCAAAACAATCTAAATATCACATCAACAGAAATTGTAATAGCATTCAGAGACATAGAACAAGTTGAGTATCTTCTCCTGTCTTTGAGTAGAATTTATTAAAATCTACTATACATTTGTGGTTGTATCAATGAGAAAACTGTACGGAAGATAGGAATGATGAGAAAAGGACCAACTACTGAACACATGGCAACCTAAACAAAACTAGGACATCTTTGGAAGCCCATAACATGACAATAAATAAAAGTTATCAGAAAATATACAAAGATTATTGCCACTGAACTCCGATTATCCTCTGATGCGATTCATATTGATTTACGTCCAACAAGTATGTTTATGGATGTGACTTTTGATATTCGTATAAATATATACGAGCATGAACAAACAGCAACCCATGATGGCTTATAAAAACCAAATTCACTTAACGTTTTTCAACGATTGTAAAGATATAACAAAGGTATAACGAAATCTAGTTCTTAATGTAATCACCTTGGAACCACCGCTTTCATGTATTTGTATGTGCGAGGGCTAGTGATACAAACTTGGAAGGTTCATAGATGCAACTTAGTAAGATTTGGGATCAAGTGCTCTATCTGTGAATAATTTAATTTTCTCAAATTAGTTGGAAATTGTTTTAGACAATTTGCCACTTCTCAGTCTTAAATCCCTATAACCTTAATGAATTACATTAGTCAATTCTAATTTTTTTACAAACCAATCCAGGCTGAAATTTCTCTAAGGAACATATATGTATGTGACAAATGCCCTGGTACGGTAGAGTCTGACATCCCTCTCCAAACGCTCTCACACAGCCATTTAGTGTATGGAAATCAACTTGATCATATTAAAAATACATTGAATGAACAAAGCTTGAGTTTTATCAATGAATAATTTTAATTCAGATCATGAATTGACTATTGTTAGACCACCACTGAAAACCTAGGAACATTGGACGACCGTTTCGTTCTGGTATCGAACTCTTCAGCAGTGCGCATCCACGATCATTGCAGATTAGCAAAATGGACTAGTGATGTTATATTCAGTGGTTGAAGAGGGTCGGAAGAAACACCTGCTTGAACCAAGGTCTTTTGCTAGTCAGTACTTGTCAACAAGGCGTAACCCCAGTCTCGGGGCAACTGACGCTCTTTGTGCGATCTAAATCAGCGTCAACAATCTTAAAAAGCTGTAATGTTAACACTGAGCTGTTTGAGTCACGAGTAACATACTATAGGACTGAGATATTGACATCCTAAAAATTCCATTGGAATTTTCTACACTATATGCGTAAGTCTGAATCTAGTCTTTTGAAACTTGCAATTCTAATGACTGAGTGTCAAAGATACCTCGAAATTTTATCTAGTATGAAAATCAACATTTTGAGATGAAGGAATATCCACTTGATGAATCCGAAGTAAAAAAACGAAATGCGCCGCCTTGATTTCAGTGCTAGTCATTTTCTATCTATATTATGAATGTATGGATCAAAGTCGAGTATACTAGGCTGTCATCTTTCTCAAAAGAATTGGATTCATTCTCAATTATTATGTCATTTACATCATTCAGTAGTAGTCAGTAATCGAATTTATGCACAAGTACATATGTATAATAGTAATAATAATAACAATGGTGATCGACTGGATCATGAAAACGTCAGCATCTGGAGGAAAGCACAGGATACAGTGGACAGCTAGGATAAAACTGGACGATTTAAACTTCACAGGTGATCTGGCTCTTCCATCACATACGCAACAACAAATGCAGGAGAAGACAACCAGTGTAGCAGCAGCCTCAGCAGCAGTAGGTCTCAATATAAACAAAGGGAAAAGCAAGACTCTTCGATACAATACAACATGCACCAAACGAATCACACTTGACGGAGAAGCTTTAGAGGATGTGGAAACCTTTACATATCTGGGCAGCATCATTGATGAATACGGTGGATTTGATGCAGATGTGAGGGCGAGGATCGGTAAAGCAAGAGCAGCATATTTACAACTGAAGAACATCTGGAACACAAAACAATTGTCAACCAACACCAAGGTTAGAATTTTCAATACGAATGTCAAGACAGTTCTACTGTGTGGGTGGAAAATTGGACAACTACAAAAGATATCATTCAGGTACAGGTGTTTATTAACAGTTCTCTACGCAAGATACTTCGGATCCGTTGAATAGACACTATCAGCAACAAGTTACTGTGGGATACAACAAATCAGACTCCAGTGGAGGAAGAAATGCTGGAAGTGGATAGGACACACATTGAGGAAACCACTCAACTGCATCACAAGACAAGCCATCACATGGAATCCTTAAGGCCAAAGGAGGGAAGGAAGACCAAAGAATACATTACGCTGAAAAATGGACAGACATGAGAAGAATGAACAAAAACTGAATAGAACTAGAAAGGAAGGGCCCAGGACAGAGTGGATTGGAGAATGCTGATCAGTGGCCTATGCTTCATGGGGAGTAAAAGGCGTAAGTAAGTAACTTTAATAATAATAATAATAATGTACATACCCTTTTAAATTCATTCATATTTATTGTATTCACTGGATAACCATAAAATTTCAATTTATCAATTCGAGTTTGATCAGTAGATGTTTGATTATTTTTTACAAAAATCTATAACAATACAATCAACAATAACAACAACATGGAATATAGAAGAAGTGAGAAGACAGTAGTTAAGAGTAAGGATTATACAAGACTATAATTTATGGACGAACCAATCAGTTATAAGATTTTGGCACAAAATTCATTCATCCATTTGGTTAAATAGCGTTTTGGTATTTTGGTTTATGTCAGTTCGTGATGTAAAAACCCTAAATTTAATTCATAATTCTAACCATCAACTGTAAATCATAATTCCAATAATGTATCTCTGAACACCGATTACCACGTCGCAGAATGCTGACTAGTGTTGAAGATGGTTGGAAGAAAGTTAGAGATGATCAAACCAAAACGTAACATCAGTTCATAAAGTAATTAACTTATGATCTGAGACATGTTGGTGGATGAAGACTACCTGGTTAGGGTCAGTGCGACTATCGTAACTAATGGTTGAAGACTCTGGGTGACATGGCTCAGAAGTGATCACAATGGAGTAGGTGTATATACTCTTTTTCTTCCTTTAAACTGTGAGATTGAAATTGCTTCATAACTTACTACGAACTAATTCCTTCTTACTGTATCATATTCTTATGTGCAACCTTTCCTTTATATATTACTTTCATTGAAATAACTACTGTGAATTCGGTGTTCATCTTGTTGTGCTAATGATGTGTGGCAACTTGGACTGATGAATATATATGCCTAGTCCTACGTAGCAGATGACTGACTACGCGTAAATAGCCATTTCCCAGTAAGTCCTACTTACAGCCTTCTCGCATACAGGGTGTTCTCTACATACTTGAGAGTATGAAAAACGAATGTCTAGTGATTAAACCGTAGGGAGGGTACTGAGTCTACATACCTAGAGAAGTTGGAAAACCTTGATAACAAACCAATCGCCAATATCGGCTCCACGATTCTAAGTGAACAAATGAAATATCAACTTATTCTTGGTCACTGGCTATCATGAAGTCGCATCTCCTAACGTCACTCTACTACCTTGTTGATTAAATTTCTGGGTTAAAGACTCAGGCAATGGTCTCCTAAAAAACCTTCTGTTTCGGTTTGGGCATCCGGGCAGTGTTATATTCTAATGAAGATTGAATTACGGGTAACTTCTGAGAATTATTAATGGACTAATATTATACATCTATTCTTATTGTATAACTATTCAGTAAGTAGATTGTATGTTATATATATTCATCTTATTATAAGCTTCATTTTGACCTATAGATTATTATTATACGATTTACTGTTCCTAAATTATATTCAGTTTATTGATTACTATCTCCCACGTTCACAGCCACATTTGACTTGATCTTGTACAAATATTATTTTCTATTTTATAGTGTGACGCGGTCTGTCTGTCTGGTATATAAACCAAGTATGTTTGAAATAAATGATTTTTATAATGGAAGCTGATATTGATGTTCTGGACTCAACTGGAAGGGCTAGGAAAACAAGGGACCAATAAGGACGTTAGACTGCTCATACCGGTTGAACGTCGTTGGTTTGGCACAGTGCTAAGATTGGAAAAGTTGTATTACGATTGGTAAATAAATCACTTAATAAAAAGCCAGGTATAAAAGCACAACAAATTGGCGATAGTCTTTTAAATTCATAGCAGGCAGTATTCCAGACCTTACACTAATTCATGTGGCATATACATATTCTGGTGTCCTTTAGTACGAACGTTAATGATTTTAAATAAATAAGTCCGATATACAGTTTGCTTGTTGAGACAACAAGATGTCACACAGACTTAACAAACAATCGCCGGGAGATTGAAGCAGATATGAAAAGAATGAATAACAACTAGAAAGGATTGACCAGGACAGGGTTGAATGGAGAATACTGGTGGTGGGTGGCCTATACTCCTCAACGATGTGTAACAGGCATAAGTAAGTTAACAAACAATAATAGTAATAATACACCTATATACCGAGGAATAGATTTTTCACTTACTGTAAGTGTACTGACATTTTGGAACTTTACAAAATTCAACTGAGTTATCCCGCCATCTTTGATATCATCTTCTGTTAATCTAGAGTAAAGAGAGTAAATATGTGACAAGCAAAAACGAAATTAGATTTTGATTAGATAGAGATAGTAAAAAAATAGTTAATTTTTGTCAAGGATTGAAAGTGAAAATTACATAACATGGTGTAAACATTTATTTTATTTATTTAAACATATAAATATTGGTACAAGGAAGCACCAGATATATATGCGTCGTACAAATCTCATTTGATTTGTGTGAGAGCTGTGATACTGCCCAGGTGCCCAAACCGAAGCAGGTGGTTTTCTTAGGGAGCCATACCCAGATCCTTTGACCTAAAGGTCTGGTTCACAAGGCAGTGGAGCATCGTAAGGAGATGCAGTCTCATGGTAGTCGGTGATCAACGATTGATTCATATGTTATTTGTTCCCTTAGGATCCTGTAGCCCATGTGCACCATTGGTTTGGAATCAGGGTGGACTTTCCCTGTCCACCAACCTGGTTAAAGCGCCGGACATTCGCTTTTCGTCCTCTCAATTTTGTAAATAATAGTAATGCCATGAGAATGCAGTGAGTAGGTGTTATATCCCCCGGTGAATTACGAATGTTAACTTTTAGGTCTATTTATCGACCAATGTATTATGCCTATTTCCTATTGTACAATTGTTACGTAACTAAACTATTCATATTCGTGTTTCCTCTTATCATTAGCTTTATTTTGATATTTGATTTATTATCATACCATTCTTGAGTTATAATCAGTTTATTGATTACTTTGGTTTGTATAAAAACCCAGTATGTTTGAAATACAATGATTCACACCACTGAGGCTGTTATTGGTGTTTTGGACTTAACTGGTTGGGCTAGACAGATCACAGGACCGGTTAGCACTCTAGTCTGCTCGTACGGGTTTCGTGTCACTGTTCCAACCGATAATTCGCTGCTCTCTAATTGGCAGTTCTATCGCGTCACACATCAACTAGTCATCCACTCGGCCACAGATATAACAGTAGGACATCCGTGGCAGAGGCTATATACGCGTGGCCATGTAAGAGCATTTCGAGATGGAGAGAGTAGACTCTCCCCACTCTCGGTCGTACCAAGGCATTTGGGGATGACTGGAATTGAAAATTACATAACACTGCAGACAGCATGTAAGAAACATAATTAATATAATGCTATTAGATGTTGATTTTTAAAAAAAAACACGTTTGTGTATTAGGGTTGGAAGTTAGTTTACAATAAATTCTATGTAAGAACAATTGAGAAATCTTCTAATGTGAATACAACGATTGAGATATTGAACAACAATACTTTAACGTTAATCATCTACAAGTCAATATGAAACAAAAAAGAAAAAAACTTCTGTACTTCGAACAAAAGTCTAACAATAAAATGAACTTAGAATAATGAAATTAATAAAACCAAAAGTACATTGGAAGTTGGTTGCGCAATTTCGTGGATTGGTTGAGGTTAGACATCAACACCGTTGGATGCCAGCTCAGTGGTCTATCGGTTAAGGGCTCCGGCTCGAGACTGGTAGGTCCTGGGTTCGAATCTCGCGAGAGCGGGTTCGTGGATGCGCACTGCTGAGGAGTCCCATAATAGGACGAAACGGCCGTCCAGTGCTTCCAGGTTTTCGATGGTGGTCTAGCCTCAATTGACTCATGATCTTAACTATCAAAAAAAACCAAAAGTAATAACAACATAGTAGTAATAAATAATAAAAAAAACAACTAAAGAATTCGAAATTTAATCTCTAATGGGGAAATATACTGCAAAAATTAATATAAATCAATTGATGGTAGAGTTGAACACTGAGGACATATACTTTTAGAAAATAAATGAAAAATTATAATTTAAAGTTGAAATCATGAGTCAATTGAAGCTAGACCATCATCGAAAACCTGAAAGCACTGGACGGTCGTTTCGTAAAATTATAAACAAACAAAAAACTTACTCTAATGTTTGTATAGCTTCACCAATTTCACAACTATCAAAATCAGGTGTTGATGTTTGATTTATAAATAGTTTTACTATTTTTGGTGCATTCTCTAGAAGAAGAAGAATATGACAAATTATTCCAAGTACAATACATAGAATGAAAATTAATGAACTGGGATCATGAAATGAATTCAGTTAGACAATCAATAATAAAAAAAAGTCTGAAAACATTAGGATAGCTATTTTATCCTAATATGAGGCTCATTAGTGATGCGCATCCACATCTTCATAACAGTGGACTGAATTCAGGACCTTTAGTCTCACACGTGAATTGGATCAAAGTTATTATGTACAATGTAATTTTTCGTTGTCAAGTCAATGAATTGATAAAAGATAACAAACAGGCAGATGTGTAGTATGTTAGATTTGATAAGTATAAGAATTATAAAAACAATATGAGTTTATATGATGAAAAACTCTTTCCTTATTTCATTTTCTTAATTTATAAAACGATAGTGTTGAGAGCTAGTTGAAATTTTGTTCTAACCTCCCATTTCTATTCAGATAATTCTAATTCCATTTTATGGAAAATGTTTTTGGTATGAGGTTTTCTTTGTTATTTTTAAAATATTTCTAAACGGCAGTTGATGGAGAACGTAGAACTTTCATAGAGGAGACTACGAACAGATCTTAGCTAAACCATTATTGAAAACCAGGAAGCATTGACAACTGTTTCATCCCAGGACGAGGCTTCTCAGCAGTGAGTATACATGACCTCATCAAACATTGAACACAGGACCTTGAGATCTCGCGAGGGATGCTTAACATCTAGATCACTGAATCAACATCCGGCAATGTACATGCTTAACTCAAATCAATCCATGACATTGCGTAACCAGTGTCTCTTGATTTCCAATGGTGGTCTTAGCTAACAATAGTTCGTGGCTTCAATATTATTAAACTTAATCTTATAGACTAAAATTATAGTGTGTAGACATTTATAAAATCGATTTCAACTCTCATAGCGACGTAATAATTGCACACACACATAAGAGAAATCGTCTGAGAAGAATGGAAACAATGGCATTAAACACATTCTTCGGTTGATATTACCCTTGTTTTCTGATCCATTAGAGATAATTCATCACAACACACACACAACTCCCTTGCCCCATAGATTTCTACCTCCGGTAATACTACATAGGTAGTTCAAAAAAGGTTGGGCAAAACAAGCCTTAAATAGTAATGGCGGTCTATTAGGTAGTGTGTTTAAACATATAAGACTGAAAAAAAAAATCCTCAATTTTTCGTTCATATCTTTCAAGAAGAAATATTTTTGCATGGTCTGACCGACCTGGAAATATCAACTAATCACGGCATACCTATTTTTACCCAAAATTAATCGTCAAAGACTAAGGACTAGATTGTACAGTATACTATTTCGTACTGTCCTGTAATGTGTATAGATTTATTTAGTGTTCCCCTCTTTCAAAACCTCCTGTGACAAAAGTACGCTAACTCATAATCAATTATACTCGGTTATCATGACAATTGTGTTACCCTCAGGCAATCAGTATTTGCTTTCCTATACAGAAATGAAAAGATCATCCCTAAATATAGCACATCTCGCCTAACCCCATAGATTTTCGTCTCCAATACAGAACCAATTAAGAAAGCTTATGTTTCATTGACTTCAAACGGTTTTCCCTTGAACTCTACAACCCAGCTCTTGAATCACGAAAATCACTTCTAATCCAAGTTTCTCTCCTCATGAAGAAGTATATCCCCACGGTTTGATTAACGGAGTAGTGATAACCGCCTTCATACATCTAGCAAAGCTAAGAATTACATTATGAACAATCAAACATATCTACAAATTCATCATTACATATATCTAATACTAATAACAATAATGATGGCAAAAATCAAATATATACACTAAAAAAAAATACCTTTAGGTCCATTAATCTGTACAGATTGAATACGAACAAATTGTGAAAAGGTAATGTATATAATAAGCTTTAAAAAAAGAAACAAAAGGGGGAATATTTTATAGGAAATAATAATAAATAGACATAATTATGACAACAGTATTTATATGAATTTGTACAAAGGTTATATAATAGAAAGAAGTCAATTAAATTCAACATTAAAAATCTATTGGTGCACATGATTTTTTAGTTATTACACACAATATCTCAATTCTAAAGCTAATGACCTGGTATAGCTGAAAGTGGGGAGAGTCCTCTCTCTCTCTCTCTCTCTCTCGAAATGCTCTCACATGGCCACGCGTATATATAGCCTCTGCCACGGATGTCCTACTCAGACCTTCTCTCCGCAGGGGTGTTGTTTACGGAATTGAGAGGATGGAAAGCGAATGTCCGGCGCTTTAATCGGATTGGTGGACACGGCGCGTCCACCTAGGGGAGTTGGAAAACCCTGATTACAAACAAATGGTGTACATGGGCTTCAATATTATTATTATTAGCTTTATTCAATATTATATTTTTGGTACAATATAGAATTCTCAGCACAAAGTTCTTCAACAAGTTTCTGTTTCTTACTTCTTCGTCCTTCCTGATGATGAATATTGAGTGATAGCCAGTTAGAACTTAGCAGCCCAGTCAATCGACATTTGGATAATGTACATTCTTGTCGCTGCATATTGCCAGCAACCACGATATGTCTGATTAAGCCTTCTGTAACCTTTACAGTGAAAGGTCTTATACTTTTCAGAAACGCACCTGAATAGGTTGTGCGATTAATAGGCATAGTGATGTATTAAAACAAACGAAATCAGATAACTTGTTGAAATATCCAGATGACAGGAACAGGTAGCCCAGATGTTTAAACAGGCCGCCAATCCTGAGGGAATAAATGGTGTATTAATCAATCGTTGGTCACCGACTACCATGAGACTGCATCTCCTTACGATGCTCCACTGTCTTATAGATCAGACCTTTAGATTAAAGGCTCCGGGTGTGGCCCCTTAAGAAAACCACCTGCTTCTGTTTGGGCACCTGAGTAGTATCACAGCCCTCACACAAATCAAATGAGATTTGTGTGGTGTATATGTATCTGGTGCCCCTTTGTACCAATATTTATATGTTTAAATTAAAAAATGGATAAAACTTTATATTCATTAACCAAGTACACTAACCTGTTCATCTGTATCTGATAATAAATATGTCTTGGAATTATTATTTTCAGAGGAATGTAATAATTGAGCAAGTGAATGAGTATCATCTTCATTTAAACATTCACATTGATTTTTTGACAATAATACATCCATATCATACTATTCGTAAAAAAGATTGAAAAATGAAACAATCAGATATAAATGAATGTGATGATTATAAAAAGAAATGTGAAGGAATTTCAGGACTAACGATCTAAGAAGAGAGGAAATGTGAATTCACCTTCCTCATTCTGAATGATTCTGAGCCATATCATCCAAAGTCTCTAACCACTGATTATGTTAATTATATGGACACAAATCAGATAAAGTGCGTATAATAGAATAATTGCAATAACTGACAGAAATTAGTGTATAAGAGTGAAATAATAATAATAATAATAATAATAATAATAATAATAATAATAATAATAATAATAATAATAATGGAAAAAATACTTCAGTTAACAAAGTTACAACCAAAAAGAATTCTTCAGTTTAAAAAGTCACGTCCATTTTTCTGAAGAAAGTGAAAGAAAATTGCAGCAGGATCGCCTTTGGCTTCTATTCTGAACCATATCTGATAACATCTCTAGCCACTGTGTTGCATCATCTTTAGGACTCCAATCAGGCAATCGTGAAGGACCAACGGAAGCCAGTCCTGTACAGCTTCTTTTCATACAATGACACCACGTCATACAGTGACCACCACTCTGTTCTGGGTTCTTCTTAGCAGTCGTTGCAAGTGTTATTCATTATTTTGATGTATGCCTCCAATTGCTGACGCAATGTGTTCTTTGATCTGCCCCTTTACCTGTCCCCTTGAGGACTCCAAGTTAGGAACTGTCTCGTGATGCAGTCTTATCCACCCCCAGCTTGTTTTCCCAAATTACTCTTCAATTGGAAGCTGATTTGTTCTGTCTCATAGTAGGATGTTGCTCATGATGTTTGGTCAACGGATATTAAGTATCTTGTGTAAACAACCGTTTATAAATCCTTGTACGTTTTTGATGATGGTTGTAGTAGTTTTGGAAGTTTCAACTCCATACAATAGAACTGTCTTGAAGTTTTAAATAAATTAATATATTTAGTGTTGGCTGACAGTTGTTTTGAGTCCCAGATTTCCTTCAACTGTAGGAATGCACCCTTTGCTAAACTAAAATATAGGTGGAGCCAGTTTCGGAACGAGTTGCTCAACGATTAAGAGTTGTTGAACTACACTGAGTCAAACTGTTACAATTGTCATGTTTAAATAGTACCAAACAAATCAGAACATTTACAAAAAGACTAAATGTTAATCCTGTATGACAACTGATTAGAAGTAAAAAGATGCATACTTGTTTAGAAGACTGCGGGCTCTTATGTGAACCACTTTCATGAGAGTCTGATCCAGAGAGAGCAAGTTCCTGTACTTTATCTCTTAACTTTTGTGGAACTCCACCAGTAATCCGATCAATTTGCTCAGCTCCACGTAGAAATATAAACGTAGGTAATGATCTGACATTGTAACGTTGTGCAACGTCCTAAAGTACAAAAATGCAGATTGAAAAGAAACATCGGTAATAACCATAATAGTAATCTGCTCATTTTCGGAGATGGACTACTTGAACTATTAGCAGGGAGCTATGATCGGTAAAGTTATCTAAATACAAGAGTTTGATGTAACGGTAAAGCAACAGTTTTCTTGTTAGTTATTTTAGAGGCAAATGTGATCGGACGGTATTACAAGAGAGAGGTTATATGTCTATTCAGAGTATAGATTATTTCATCTAGATTGTTTATCTAGTACCGATGACCCCCGAGTAATAAGCAAATAGATAATAGCCAAGAATAACAATTAACGAATATCGATCTAGAATCTAGCTCTCCTATGCTCGCTAGCTCGATAGTCACGATAGAGCAAATACAGCAAGCGGATAACTTTTAACTAAACAGTTCAAATTTATGAATCACTTATAAAAACCGAATCGGGCGGTTTTCTTAGGGGGCCACACCCCGAGCCTTTGACCTAAAGATCTGATCCACAAGGTAGTAGAGCATCGTAAGGAGATGCAGTCCCATGGTAGTCGGTGACCAACGATTGATTCATACGCCATTTCTTCCCTCAGGATACTGGAACACACGTGCACCATAGGTTTAGAATGAGGGTTTTCCAACCTCCTTAGGTGGACTTTCCGTGTCCACCAACACGGATAAAGCGCCGGACATTCGCTTTTCGTCCTCTCAATTTCGTAAACAACAGTAATGCCACAAGAAGGCAATGAGTAGGACTTCCATGGCAGAGGTTTTTTATTACTTATGACATACTGACATGACTGACATTGAAATTAAAAAGCATCATTAAATGCTTACCTCATGTTTATCAACATCAATTTTAACAAATTTCATATTTGTATACTTGATACTTAATTCTTGAAAGACAGGAGCTATATCTGAACAAGGACGACACCATGAAGCATAAAAATCCATAACTACAATGATTGGACCATTTGTTACATTATTTGCTTCTTGTATAATTTGTTCAAGATGATTTTTATCTGTGATGTTAATCACAGTGGCCATTTAATAAGTAAAATTTCTAAAATAAAATTTCAAAAATGAAACATCAATTTACTTTAGGAAATATATTGTAAAACTAAATGAGATAATAAACAACTGGCCTCATTTCCTTTCTATGGTGTCAGTCAGTTACAACGTAGAACTTCGTACATACGTACATCAGTTCGAGTTGCCATACCACATTAACACAGAGATGCCCCCAATCGGGCGTCACGGTTTTTGCACCAAAAAACCCTGGTACGGTCTAAAGTGGGGAGAGTCCGCTCTCCCTCGCGAAATGCTCTCATATGGCCACGCGAATATATAGCCTCTGCCAAGGAAATCCTACTCACTGCCTTCTCGTGGTATTACTGTTGTTTACGAAATTGAGAGGACGAAAAGCGAATGTCCGGCGCTTTAACCGGATTGGTGGACGGAAAGTCCACCTAGTAGAGTTGGAAAACTCTCATTCCAAACCAATGGTGTACATGATCTCCAGTATCCTGAAGGAACAAATGACGTACGAATCAATCATTGATCACCGGCTACCATGGGACTGCACGATGCTCCACTGCCTTGTGGACTAGACCTTTAGGTCAAAGGCTCGGGGTGTGGTCCCCTAAGAAAACCACCTGCTTCAGTTTGGGCACCTGGGCAGTATTATAGCCCTCACACAAATCAAATGAGATTTGTGAAGCGCATATTTATCTGGTGCTTCCTTGTACCAATATTTATGTGTTTAAATAAATAAATAAATATCAATTCAAATCCCATAGTGGTGGAAGTAGTAAGAGTGCAAGCAGTAACCCGAAAGATTAAGGTTTAAAGATGTTATTCAAGAATTATACTCCAGTGAAATAAATTTGGAAAGAGAAAAAGGTAGAGACATGAAGAATTCAGAATATTAGAATTTGGTAGAACACAAAGAGTGGATTCACCTTCGCCATTGCAAACAATTTTGAGCCATGTCATTCAAGGTCTTTAACCATCGATTGCTATCATCTCGCGTATCCCAACCAGGAAGTCTACACCTACCAACATGGCACAGTTCATTTGTCAGTGACTTCATGGATTTGTGCCATGTTTTGGTCTGGCCGCACTTAGCTTTCTCCCAACCTACTCCTCTATCATAAAACATCGCACATCTGGACAGTCGGTGGTTGGTTGGGCATACGTAGAACGTGTCCCAGCAATCTCAACTGATGAATTTTCACTACTTCATCAATGGATTAGCCATCCTTACCTAGTACCTGTTTCCTAACAACTGCATTATATTTATTTATTATTATTTATTTAAACATATATATTGGTACAAAAGGGCACCATGTATATATGCGCCAGGTAAATATGCGCCTCACAAATCTCATTTGATTTGTGTGAGAGCTATAATACTGCCCAGGTGCCCAAACTGAAGCAGGTGGTTTTCTTAGGGGACCACACCCCGAGCCTTTGACCTAAAGGTCTAGTCCACAAGGCAGTGGAGCATCGTGCAGTCCCATGGTAGCCGGTGATCAATGATTGATTCGTACGTCATTTGTTCCTTCAGGATACTGGAGATCATGTACACCATTGGTTTGGAATGAGAGTTTTCCAACTCTACTAGGTGGACTTTCCGTCCACCAATCCGGTTAAAGCGCCGGACATTCGCTTTTCGTCCTCTCAATTTCGTAAACAACAGTAATACCACGAGAAGGCAGTGAGTAGGATTTCCTTGGCAGAGGCTATATATTCGCGTGGCCATATGAGAGCATTTCGCGAGGGAGAGCGGACTCTCCCCACTCTCGGCCGTACCAGGGCATTTGGGGGCACTTAACTACTACTACTACTTTAACTACTTTCACTTAACTACTCTCTTTTATTCCCATTTTGTGTATCTTTATTTTTCAACTTATACAGCAGCTCGTCTGCGGTGGGATCTCCGTTCTATCTAAACGATCTCGAGTCACTGATTAGCCGAAAGTTGAATGCCACCACCGAATACGAATAATGAGTCTTTCTGAAACCAGGTATACCATTCAAACTCGCTTCCTTCAACGTTCGCACACTAATGCAGATCGGACAACAGATAGGATTAGTTAAGTTCTAATATCAACGTCTGTTGTCTACCCGAGACCCGTATTCAAGACTAGAATGAATTACTACAAATCCGCTCTTCATCTGTCGATTCGAAAAGCTTGCTTTAAGTGAGTTTATCCAGAAATCCTGCGGCATATTCGTCTGGTTTTGCTGACGTTGGTGTCGCACAATGTGCTAGAGCTGAGGCAACACTAGTCAACTGGATCCCCATTAAGAGTCGATTATGTGCTGTTAGATTAGAAAGTTCCATCAAAGTAAGGAGACAGAGTACATCATTTAAGAAACTGTAACATGTGAATCAAGGAGTGTCGTTTGTTATATAAAATCAAATCGAATCAGTAATGTTGGGATGACTAACATATAGTGTTAACTTGAATCAGTTTATAAGTGAAATAAAATCGTAAGATAAATGATCAGAATATATATAGAAGACTGTTCAGAGTTATTACTCACTATTCGTTTTTCAAGCGAAAAAAGAGGATATGTATATTTTTCCCTAACAGCGATTATTTGAGGGAAACGACGTTTGATTGCGGCCCTAGAGATGCAGTGTTCAGTGGAGACTATGGGTGACAGCCCAGAATTGATTATAATGGAGTAGGTGTATACACACTGTGCCCTTTCTTAAACAGTGAGATTGAAATCACTTTATACCTGTCTACGAACAAATTCTTTCTTGCTTTATCATATCCTTACATGCAATCGTTTTTTTCTATATATTACTAGCATTGAGGTAACCACTTTTATGAATTTGGTATTCATCCTGTGCCAATGAAGTGTAGCTACTTGGACTGATAAATATATGTGTCTGGTCCCACGTTGTAGATGACTAACTGACATTAATGTAGCATTGAGACATTATTGTTTTGAAAGTGTTTGTACTTTAACCGCAAATCCTTGGCAAACCATCGTTTAACTGCATATCAACTTTATATGCGTTGCATTGATACAATTTAGACGTGTAGTGAGAGTGCGTATGTATTCTCATGGAGTTTGAAATCGGTTCACCTATTTTATAAAATAACGCGTTTACTAGCAACTATAACTTCGTCAGCGTCAATCAAAATTTGCATTTACAATGTGTGACGGTAATCCGACTGTTAATCTCCTTGTAAACTACGATTCCGTTCCCAGTAAATGTATTCTATTAAGTAATTCTTCTAAATCCAGCCTACTGTGTCAAATAATTTGTTTTGTGATAGAAGTAAAGGCGAACAAATGAAACGCTTGGGACAAGAGCAAATTTTGCTTGGACTTAGCGAAATTTTAGATGAGTAGAAAGCCATGTTGCGTAAAAGTGAACTGGCGTTCTGGTGGGACAGGTTGTCTACCGAAATCACAATGATGCAGTGTAGAACTAGATCAGTCATCTGGAATTGCCGTTGGAGTAAATACACCTGTTAGGTTGGTATACATACCCGACTAGCCGGGAATTTACGAATCCCGAACTCAATTAGCTTCGAACTAGCCAAAACTGTCTAACCAAAGATACTAATCCAACCAATCAATTATTTAGTAACTTGACACTGTCGCTTTTATCATACTAACTTGGTAATGTTACAAATAAAAAGCTTTGAAACGTGTATCTACCAACATGAGGGAAGAAACTCAAGTTACCCGGCAAAGTTTGGAAGTTTGAAAAACTGCCAGCCTGAAATATCCAAATCCTTGAGAAGAAGAATCAAACTAAATTTTCTACCTAAAAGACATCTGAAAAGTTATATATTTTCATACACCGATATATTCTTTTATTACTTTTATATGGGCTTTATCGAGTGGCTGTAGGAATACACTTGAAGTGTACTCCATATTTTACGAGCTCACCACATGAAAATGTTACTTTTTTAATCTTGCAACACCATACATGGTCAAGAGATAAATCATCCTACCTCTTTGACAACCGTGAGTGCAATTCTCTAGTCCCCATTTCATTTTTTACTTTTTTTCAATAACGTAAGAATACTAAAATCAATGTTAGTCCTATCAATTACCGTTCAGATCAAATCAAATTTATCTTTAACTTATCCATAGAAGGTACTGTTGCTAGATGGTGAGATGGCGAGTTTATCCATATGGCGCCCTACTGGAAAGGTATGTAGATAGAAGGCTCTAGACATGCAGGCGAATCATTTTTGCCTCCCCAAGTTAAGCGATTGGGAGAGCAGCAGAGGTGAGTTTTATATCAGAGCTCATTATCGGATAATGTGATATTGAAAACCCGGCTGCATTGGACCACAGTTATTGACAAGCAGAGTAGACTTGGTCAAATTTATCTCGCATCACACAGGAACTCAATAATGTTTTCTCATGATCCTTTGTGATGTTTAAATAAATCAATGACTTCTTCGTATTGATGACTGTTGTAATTTTGAATTCCAAATACAATACATTCGTTCGGGCTCATCTGATACTTCTTGATTAAATTGCGTTATTCCTGGAATTACTAGTTCATACTACAATTCAAATACTTCTAATTATCATATTGGCGTCGCGATGGAGCCTGCGATACAACAGTTGGACATTCATTCAACTTCTGAAGCTTGTGAGGATTACCTTGAAAGGTTTGAGATATGGAGCATGACCAAGAAAGATATGAAGGGTGACAAAATTGTGGCACATTTTCTTACATTCATCGGTCAAGAAGCCTACAGTTTATTAAAAACCTTGGCATATCCAGATAAGCCGATTTCACTCCCATATACAACTCTCAAGGAATTACTATTAAACCATGTGAAGTGCACCAGTTTTGAGTGTCGTGAGAGAGCAAAATTTCATAAGATGATTCGTCAGGATAACCAGAAGGTTAAAGACTTCATCCTTGAATTGCAAAGACAAGCTGCCAAATGCAATTTTGGTGATCAGCTTCATGTACAGTTGAGAGATCGGTTAATTGCTGGAATTAACATACCAGGTCTGGAAAAGGAGCTGTTAAGAATGCCGAACTGTTC